CTGGATGGCACATACAGCGCCTGCGCGATTCTCCGCGCGCAGCTGGATGGCACATACAGTGACTGCGATTCTCCGCGAGCAGCTGGAGCATCACGCAGGCGCTAAGACGCATGCGTGAACTGCGCGTGTGCACGAGGACGCTGCCGGCCCCGTTCCAACCGAACCGGTTGGAACGGGATAAGCTCCCACCACTGTTGGACATGCCTTGAAATGCTTATTGGGGAACCTGTGACTTTCCAGATCTTGATGAGTTACAACTCACCACATCTTTATACTGTGCACATTATGCTATAATATAAACTCTGTTGATTTTTTTCCCAACTGTAGTTTGATCCAGAACTTGTTTTGATTTCTGCTGGATATGACTCTGGAATAGGCGATCCAGAGGTAAGCTCTTTTCTAGATACTGTTTTTCTTTCTTTTTTCCCATGAAAACAGGCCATTTAAAAAAAAATCTTTGTTTCTGCTTGCTTTATTTTTAGGGGCAGATGAAAGCAACTCCAGAATGCTTTTCCCATCTTACCCATTTTCTAATGAATTTAGCTAATGGAAAGTTGTGTGCAGTTTTAGAGGTATGGATTTTATTAGAGTGTATTTCCAATTTAATAAATGCTATCAACTTTTTAATTAGAGGTACTGTTCAAATTTTTCTAGGATTATGAATATTCACATATTGACAGAAATCTCAGATGCTCACTGATCTATAAATATAGGTAGTCCTCGACTTATGACATATCACTTAGCAACCAATTGAAGTTCCAATGGACCTACCCGAGGGATATTTACAACCTGAATTTGAAGTTCCAATGGCCACCCACAGTCATGTGACCTCACTTTGTGTCCTTGGCAACCAGAACACATAGGCCATTCCGGAGATCATAAAAATATTTGAGGTTTTGGAATATTGAGATAATACTATTGTTTCTTACAATTATATTTTACTTTAAAATTACTATATAGCATTAAAAATATTACAAGTATAGAAATCTATCAATTTGACCTACCATCTATTTATTATATAAAAAAAGCAATGAACGGGTAATTCTGATAACAAAGCTAAACTTCGAAGCCCTTTGTTAACAAACTTATTGTTTTTAACTCACAGAAAGTCCAGAAGCATCTTCTAATCTCCCATAAATGCCTTACAACCATTGTCTCTGAACCTTCCAGCATCAAATACCATAGATTGATTTTTAATGGGAAGAACAATTCCTCCCAGCTTATCATCTTTACTTTTCTTTAGAAATGTAAACTTTTCAAACAACTGCTTCTCATTCCTCAAAAGCATAGATCTCTATTGAAAATATTTCCATAACACTTGTTGTTCAGTACATTTTCCTGCAAATTGGAATGCAGTGTCTTTTGGCAGCTGTCTTCTATTGCATGTAGTGAGATGTAATATTCAAAGTCTTCAGTCTAATGTTACTTGGATTTTAATATAGTCCAGATTTGTCTTATACTCAAGCTTTCACAGCAGGGTGCAAAGTTTCTTTCCCAGGACAAAAAAGCAAATATTCCATAACAAAGTAACCATAGAAGAAACCAAGATAAGAATTCCCACAGTAAGAGAATAAATGAAAAAGAAAAAAAGGGAAAGTTCCCATCTTTTTAAGATAAATAAAACCAAGGATATATGCAAAAATAAAATGAAGTAACATAATTCTTTTGCTGTTATGCCTATAGTAAAATACAATTGTGTAAATCAAATCAAGTCACTTTCACAGTGAAGAGGAAAACCCTCACACTGTTGACTTCCTTGCGGCGAAAGAGAAAGTATTTTAAAAAGTATAACAAAGAAAGTTCACATTTGTATACCAACTAGAGACTGTAAAGCCCATCAGCATTCAGCCAGGCTATTAACAATTAAACTTCAAAGCTTCGAAAATATTCTTCATCTAAAATATACAATGACAGGAAAAGATGGAGACACAATCCTCTGACTGCTCTTAACAAGAATTGCAATCCTCTGGATTCTCTTTCCAAGCAAGTACACAGCCGACCAAGGGTCATCGTGAGTCACTCCTAGATGCTCCCCTTCAAATCTGGCAAGCCACTGCCAAAAACTGGCTTTGGCAGCAAGTCAACTGTTTATGGGAAAGGAAAGAAAAGCACTCTGTCGCTCAGCACACCATTTTCTGAGGTTCCCATTTTTTTTTTTCATACTAGAAGAGATTTAGGTTGTCTTACAGATAGTCCTTAGTTAATGACAGTAATTGGACTGGAATTTCTGTCAATAAGCAATGGCAATCCTAAGGCAAGATGTCACATGACTCTGGTGGTGTTAGTGGCGAAGTCGTGTCTGACCCATCGCAACTCCATAGACTATGTTCCTCCAGACCTTCCTGTTTTATACCATCCTCTGGAGTCCATTTAAGCTCGCACCTACTGCTTCAGTGACTCCATCCAGCCCCCTCATTCTCTGTCATCCTTTCTTTTGCCCTCAATCTTTCCCAGCATTAGGGTCTTCTCCAGTGAGTCCTTCCTTCTCATTAGGTGGCCAAAGTATTTGACTTTCATCTTCAGGATCTGGCCTTCTAAAGAACAGTCAGGGTTGATCTCCTCTAGGACTGACCAGTTTGATCGCCTTACAGTCCAAGGGACTCGCGGGAGTCTTCTCCAGCACCATAGTTCAAAGGCCTCAATTCATTGGCATTCAGCCTTTCTTATGGGCCACCTTTCACAGCCATACATTGCAACTGGAAAAACCATAGCCTTGACTATACACACTTTTGCTGGCAGGGTGATGTCTCTGCTTTTTAGTATGCTGTCTAGATTTTCCATAGCTTTCCTCCCCAGGAGCAAGCGTCTTTTAGTTTCTTGGCTGCAGTCCCCATCTGCAGTGATCTTGGAGCCCAGGAAAATAAAATCTGTCACTATCTCCATTTCTTCCCCATCTATTTGCCATGAATTGAGGGGGCCGGATGCCATGATCTTAGTTTTCTTAATGTTGAGTTTCAAGCCAACTTTTGCACTCTCCTTTTTCACCTGCATTAAGAGGCTCTTTAGTTCCCCTTCACTTTCTGCCATTAGAGTGGTATCATCTGCATATCTGATGTTGTTGATATTTCTCCCGGCAATCTTAATTCCAACTTTTGATTCATCTAGCCCCGCCTTTCTCATGATGTGCTCTGCATATAAGTTAAATAGGCAGGGTGACAGTATACAGCCTTGCCTGAGTCCTTCCCCAATTTTGAACCAATCAGTGGTTCCCTGTCCAGTTCTCACTGTTGCTCCTTGACCCACATATACGTTTCTCAAGAGACAAATAAGATGGCCTGGTACTCCCATCTCTTTAAGAACTTGCCACAATTTGTTGTGATCCACACAATCAAAGGCTTTAGCATCCTACTGCTTAGCAATTACAGTTCTGGCACTTCTGGTTGCCATTGTTAAGCAAATCCTGTGTCATTGTCAAGCCCAATGTCATGTGGTTGCCATTTTCAACCTGCTGCTGGCTTCCCCATTGAATTTGTTTGTAGGAAGCCAGCAGTGAAGATTGCAAATTGTGATCATAACTGCAGGAGGCTGTAAAATCCTAATTTTGAAGCTGATCCCTAATTTCCTGAATCATGATCATGTAACTGCATGGATGCTGTGACAGCTGGAACTTTGAAGACTGACTGTAAGCCTCATTTGTTGAAGGCCATCATTAATTTGATCACTGAACAAGCAATCCTTAAGTGAAGAAGGTATTTTCAATAGTATTTTCTTTTTTGTAAGCCGCCCGGAGTCCTTTGGGATTGGGCGGCATATAAATTTTATAAATAAATAAATAGTGATTATATCAGGTGTTTGGAAACAAGCATACATTGGTGCCTGATGAATATTACTTGTTTTATTTTCTAATACTTTAGCACATGGATGTTGTTGTTTGCTTAATCTTTGCTTGGAATTTTGTACGCTCCTTTATATTTTATATCTGTTTTTATTTAGGGTGGCTATCATTTACGGTCACTCTCTGAATCAGTCTGCATGACTCTAAAAGCTTTGCTTGGAGATCCTTTACCTCCTTTGTCTGGTGAAATGATGCCTTGTTTAAGGTACATGTATGACAATGTTCATGTGTGTAGGCATGTAATAACTAAAGAGCTAGATCTGCATTGACCAAAGGCCAGTTCTAAACAAGACTGAGGATGGGATAATCTTTCAAAATTATTTCCATTAATGGATTGTCAAAAAAGCCAAAATGGGGATCATGCAATTGAAACCACTATCTGAACTTTTTAAAATTTCTCTGTGGGCATGTCTGTACATAGGATTCTGCTATTTAGATCTTTTGAGTCAGCCAACAGTGCAAAATCCAGCATGTACTTATCTTTTACTGGTCTACCCAAACCCGGCATTTAAATGCAGCTTCTAACAGTTTTATGTATGCTGACTTGTAGTAGACAAACCTGTGAAGATTTTACAGTGGGGAGATTGGATATACATTTGGTATGTACCTGTTCTTTTGGTGTTAGGCCTATTAACCCTATTGCATTGTTCCATCATAAAATCATTGCTCAGGGAGGAAGATACGTACGTTCTTAATCTGTTCTCCTTAATTGTAGGAGAACAATGGTGTACAATTACGACATGGATAGATTATAATCTTTTTTAATTTGAAGATTTCATATGGTCCACCATATCTTTAAACCAGTATTTCTCAATCTTGGCAGCTTGAAGATGTGTAAGCTTCAATTTCCAGAATTCCCCAACCAGCATGCTTTCAAACTATGGATGACAAAGACAGAAGCTCATATAAAACCTAAGTGTTACCCTAAAGAATGGGAACTTCTAGTGACTTTCACTCTCTCAACAAATGGCATAAGATATAGACAGTATTTGATGGGACCTCTGAAACTGGTGCAGGAGGCATCTACCCACAAGGTATTTACTTGTGCAGTGGATTACTCCTTGCCGTTTGCAGGTGGTTATAGATAATTTGAGTAAAGGTAAAGGTTCTCCTTCCACTTGTGTCTGATTCTAGGGTGCATTGCTTGGCCAAGGGAGCCAATGTTGTCCAAAGACTTTTTCCATGGTCATGTGCCTATCATGGCTATACTCCAAAAGCACAAAAATGGCTGTTACCTTCCTACCGAAGAGGTAGTCACATCTGCATCAGTGGTGAAATTTATTTATTTTTTGCTACCAGTTCTGTGGATGTGGTTTGGTGGGGTCATGTGCCCCCATAGTGGGGGCTATGACCACATAGCCATTTAACTGGGGAATCAAAAGACAGAGACTCGCTTTAACAATATCCTGCTGCAGCAGAGTTGGACTAGATAACCTCAAGGGCCCTTCCAGCCCTGGATTGTCCTCTAGTGCCAGGTTTGTAGTCCTTCCTCCCTCTCCTTTTTCCCTCCCTCCCTCTCTTTCTCTTTCTTCTTTCTTTCTCAGCACTCCCCCACCTCCTGTTTTTAGCCTAGCAGGTTTCACGGAAACCTGCTGGGAGCAAAAACGGACCCCATCCCACCCCCGCATTTCTGGAGAACCTGTAGTAAAAAAAAATGCTTAAAAAGTAAAAAAAAAAAAGTTCAGAAGATCAGCTGTGTGACGTGCAATTGTCGTAACTTTTAAAAAAACTTTTTTTTGTATTTTTTACTACCGATTCTGGGAACCAGTAGCATCTTTTCCTATCGGTTCAGGCGAACTGGCCCGAACCGGTAGCATTTCACCCCTGATCTGCATGATTTTGAACTGCTAGCTGGGTAGGAGAAAGAGCTCATCCTGTGGTTGAATTAAACCAAAAGTGTAGAGTTGCATTGTTCTATTCCAATAATTCGGGTGCCTCTGTAGGTTTGCTTAATTGCCTACAAATATGGCAGTCTATATATCGAAAAGAATCTCCACTGCTTATGTGAAAGAATTTTTTTCATCAAAATAGGTAGATTTGAGCTGGTTTTTCTTTTTAAAATGTATACATATTAGAAAATCCTGGGAATTACAAAAGATGGTAGAAAAATTCCATATACAGCCAGATGGGATATTGAATAGGTAAAGGTAAAGATTCCCCTCGCACATATGTGCTAGTTGTTCCTGACTCTACCTTATTATGCTTTAATAATTTTATTGCATACAAGTTTATTTTAGATAGCATAGCCTCAAGTTTTTGTGGCATATATCATTGCAAATAACACTTATACAGACTTAGTATTAAAAAATATAGAGGTTTAAAATATTTTTTTTTAAGAGAAACTGCTAGCTGGGTATCCCATTTGATCTTTTTTAGTGCAAGGGAATCAATTCAGAATGTGAGAGCTGCGCATAAGCCATATTGGAAGTGTTTGACATATGAAGGTAATGGCAGGAATTGCCTTTTTTTCTGATATATTGCTGCAGATCATGGAAATATTAAAACATTTCTGGATTTAGTTTACTGTCTATCCTTTTCTTAATTCACAGAAATCTCACTTATCAAGTTTAAATATTCCAAAGCAGATCCTTAAGTAGAACAAGTTATCAAATTCCTATTTCAATTTAGAAGCAGTATTAGAAACGAGACTGGCTAGATTTTAACATCGCTAGGTGATAAAGTCACAATAAATATTGACAATATATTGACTAAATTAATTTACTCAGTATAAATTAACAACTTGTCCTAAAGCTTATTTCTTCTTCTTCTTTCTGAATTGTCAAATGAACGATTGATGATATAAAGGATGTCAGTGGCAAACTTAGCACAAATAATTACAACAGTATACCTGGTTGAAATAACTAGAGTTAAATTAATTTAAAACAATATCTGTACTTAAAAATATGCTGCGTGTACTTAAATAGTGTATACTTAACAATATCAACCAAAAGAAGTGTTTTTCAGAATGTGGGAGCATAAGCACAATGAGTTGCAATAAGGACATGATGCTTTGATTCATTAATGCAGGGCTGTCACACTCCTGGCCCGCAGGCCTGATGCGTTATATGCTGGCCACGCCAACGCCCGGTTTAGCGATATGTCACGTGACACTGCTATGACGATGTGAGTTTGACACCCTTGCATTAAGAAGAATTACATCTTCTTCTTCCTTGTAGCAGTTGGGAAAATCCTAACTGCTTGAATCAAGTACCATTCTCCTCCTACTATTTCTTCCAACTCATTTTCAAAGTAGGCACAACCCATCTGTCTGACTTGTAGATCATAGTACATACATCCAACAATAAAAGGATTGCTAAATATTTTACAGTAGGCAACAAAAATGTAAAAACTGTCTATTTTTAATATGTTTTGTACTAAAAACAATAATGTTAAAATTTTGAACTAAACAAATCATTTCTAAGCTAAATGCCCCCTCCCCACTCCCCAGAAATCTGATCAGAGATTTCAAAATGTGGCAATACCCAAACCCCGAGTAATACTAGCATAATCAACTTTCCATAAGTTGTCTGGAATTTTGAGAGTTGTAATCCCAACAGATCTGGAGGCCACTGGTTTGAGGAAAACAAGCATAATTTGTCTTCACTATGGAGACAGGCTGTGTTCTGTTGTTGTTTCCAGATGTAACTCCAGTGCAAGATCTCAGTACTACATCCTGTCAAGCAGAGAAAGCTGAGCTTACACAGAGCAACGTGGAACTCCTAAGTCCTCAAGAAGTTGGAAAGGGAGATGTCAATGAAGTCATCAAAACAGATAGGTTTTTGGAGACGCATATGAAAAGCATTTTGTCTTTGAAACCTCCTATTAAAACAGCAGTCGCTGTTGATGAGAGTGGCACACAACTCCTCCCACCAACTGTTCATATTCCAAAGGGACTGGATATGGAAGAGTTCAAAACTACTATCAGGTTAGTCATACTGTTCACCTCAAAACGGGGTGTATCATGGTACAGCCAGATATTTAGCATTCAGCTTTCCATGAAAAAGAATGTTCAGCCTCTCCAATTAAAAGGATGGGTAGCAAAAGCTTGTCTGTGTAAAGTACAGGAAGTCCTCTACTTACAAAAGTTCATTTAGTGACTGCTCGAAGCTACAATGGCACTGAAAAAGTGAGTTATGACCATTTCCCACACTTTCAGCATCCCTATGATCATGTGATCAAAATTTGGATGCTTGGCAACTGGTTCATATTTGTGAGAGGACAAAATCATGTGATCCTTTTGTGACCTTCTGACAAGCAAAGTCAACGGGCTGCCAAACACACACAGAGACGTTTCAGGGTGTCTTACAACATTTAAAAATCACATATATTAACAAAAACAAACCACCCTCCCCACAGTGATAATCTGTTTATCCAGAATTCAAAAGTCCTATATGTTGCAAGAAGAAATTGCTATGGCTTAATTAGTGTTGCAGTTAACATAAGATTCCTCCTGAATAATAGGGACAACACTTAGTGTACAGTACACAGAGTAATTTATAATTTAGCCAACTTTTATATGTCCATTAAGAAGTCATAAATTCAAACTTCAGCATGTTGTTCCAATTGTTCTGGTGTATAACCATCATTCAAATATATGTATTTCACAGTGCATTTCATGTGAAAAATATGAAAGAAGCAGCTCTAAAGTCACACTTGAATATGTTGGCTGTCCTTAACAAAATCATCAAAAAGGAGGTAATGTTAATCATTTGGCAAAACTGTGTTGATTCAATATGACATATTTTCTTCTAGTTGGTTTTGAGGAGAACTAAACATATTTTAAAATCTCACAGTCATTCCTATAGGGAAGTTGTACTTAAATTGAAGCTATGCCCTTTCTTTTTTGTCTGTGAAGATTCTCAGCTAGCCAGGTCATAATTGTATCAAAAGTGGGTTTTATTTTGGAAAAAAAAAGCATCTGGATTGATTTTTTTGAGGAAAAGCAAGACATTTCACTTCCTATCCTGGAAGCATCAACAGTTGTATTGGATGCTGTGGGAGCCAGAAGAACAGTTATTGACAGTTGAGATTAGTTGGTGGTAGGGGGAATGAAAAGATTGGATCTTTTTCCTCAAAAAAAATATATCATTCCATTCGCCTTTTTTTTTCAAAATAAAAAAAAAACACTTGATATGTTTCTTTTTTGGTCATTTTCCTGCATAGCATCTTAGATGTAGGCTGGTGGATATCACATTATGTCTCTCAAGCAATTAGGATGTAAATTCATTCTCTTTAAAGAGATATATCACAAGTTCCATCTGCATGCTTAACTACCTAATTATTATATGGATGGTTAACTCTTTATATTCTCCTAGAACAATGCATTATTATCCCATTACACTAATTGCAGCATAATTTCTCTATTACTGCTAAGGTAAAGGCTGCATATATTCCCACCTTGGGCATTGTGCTGTAATGTAAATGCTAATGCTAGTAACAATAACACATTTCAATTAACTCAATAAACCTGTCAACTGTGTAGAGAGAAGACTAACCTTGGTTACAGAGATGTGAATAATTTTTCTGAAACCAGTAAATCACATCTTCTGAATAAATATTAAATATTTTTTTGCTAGAGCTGGAAAAGCTTGCTTGATGTAAAGCTAGGTTGTGTGCATACAGATGATGTCCTCAGGTAACCACAATGACAAAGAATCAACAGTCCAGATCCTGGTTTTTGTACTTAAGTTCCAGTGTGGGATATAAGTCTCAGAGCCGGCTGGGTGGCTTTGGATCAGTCACTCTCTGTCAGCCCAATTCACCTCACAGGTTGGAAAAATTTGTTGTTGGAAAATAGGAGAAGGGAATATTGTGTGTTCACTACCTTGAGTTATTTTATTGAAAGGATCTCTGAAGGATTAGAGCATACATAGAGTATAACCTAATTCAGCTTTTGTTAAATTGCTGTTGAGAGAAGCTCCATTGTAACCTAACGTGCCAACTTCATAGATAAAACTTCTAGGCGAATTGCCAAGCTTAGCCTAGCAAAGTATTCTGCCAAGTAACCTTGCTTGTAACTTGAAATGTGTGTTCAGCATTCTCTAACAAAGCTCTGACATGTGCCAGAAAATGTATTTCTTTCCTCTTCTAAGGTCTATTGTTTTCAGAGCGCTGAGAAAAATCATGAGGTTTGCGTAACATGAAATAATGTTTCTAACACTATCTGTGCAAGCTGTGTAAGACTAAGAAGTTTGACAAAAAGGTTTTTTCCACGACAACGGTGAGGCATGAGCCTGTTTTTTTTCTCTCCCTCTGCCTGCTCTGTTAAGGGGGAGATAAAAATGCCGTCAAGTCTTTTTGCTTTCTGCACAAAATAAAAACTGATTAGCAGTAGCCTCGGGTTCAGAGTTTCATTGGAATTATCAGATTCTGAGCTGAATTCAAAAACCTTACATTATAAAGAGTAAAGGCAGGATAAAATATTTAAATAATAATTGTGGCATCATGATACGTATTTCATTATTTGCCTCCATCCTCCCTATACTGTATACCTATGGCTGTATGACTTGTATCCATGCCTCTTACAAAATCATGTAAGATTTTGAAGAGGCCCAGATGGGATGTAGTCAATCTCCATGCCAAAGTAGACCATTTATTCATACATAATCTTTGCTGGGATAAAAGTTACTGAGTAGAAAACAACTTCGAGTCACCTAAGTCAATTCTAATATTTTTGTAAATTAAATGACAATAATTCCCTCTTTGCACAGTTAATTTGCCCAAATGAATAGTAGAGAGGTGCTGCCAAATTATTAGCATTTAGCCAATTAGTTAATCAAATTTCTTTGTGCTAGCAACATGCTTTTTAGAATTGGAATCCTTCCATTTATACTTGGGGAAGCCTAAGTTTCTTTCTATTTGTCCATCAAAATGTTTTCTTAATATTGGTTGATTGAAATCAAAACCTGAATGTATCCTGTAAATAGACTACACATTCCTATTTAGTGCATTACTAAGATTTAACTGACTGTTCAATTTAGGGAAAATATGTCATCAGACACTGGTGTTTGCTGATAGTCCTTCAAATAAAGATCCTTCTCTAGATGTATTCATGGCCAAGTTATTACTTTTGGGGAAAAATAGGAACATATCCAGACTTGATAACTATATGCTTTTAAATGTCCAAATATTTTATTTTGATATTAATTTTGCAGTATTTGCAGAGACTTTATTTTTTCTTATAACTATTCAGTTCCAGTCATTCATATGCAATGAATTTATACATATAGGGCAATACAGATATATAATCTTGACTGTAAGTAATATTAAATAAAAAGTAACGTTTTAATTATTATGTTATTTAGGTGATCAATGGGCTTGCAGTTTCATCTACACCTTCACTTTCTTCTGCCATTGCGGTAGCACATTGTAGAAACTGGAAGGTAGAAAAGTAGGTATAAGAATGTTGTGTTTAATACTTTCTTGCACAGTTTTCTACTTAAAGGACAATATAATAAATTATTATTCAAAAATGATTCAAAGACACACTCTGAATGTCACAGAAAGACAACACTTCTCTATTCTTCATTGAAATAGTTGATTTTTTTTTAGCTATCTGCACAATCCTGGAAAAAAAAATTAATGTTTTTAGGAGTCATACTAACTTTAATTAACCATCTTCTGCAAACCAAGCGTATTTTTTCAATGGGATCCTTGGTGTTTTCTGAACTTAGTGGTTTTCTTGCAAACTTTTCATTACCAAATAGATTTTAGCTAGTTTGGCAGCAACATCTGCAAGAAAACCACCAAATTCAGACAGCACCAAGGACACCACAGAGCTACAGATATTCTCTTTTATTAACATCTTTTCAAAGTGGTCACAACTCTAAATATTGTGCCTTTTTTGGCTAATGCTTTCAGTTCTTCTTAACATTGTCTATTATTTAGGAACTTGGGGAAATTCTTGACAGATTTGGAAAAGCAACGAATCGATCATAACCTGGACTATTTTGTATACATATGCACTCCATATGCAAAGTGAATAGAATTCATTTCTATATGAATAAACTTCATTTAACACAGTAGGATTTTTTTCTAAGTGGTTTATTCAGAAGTGCATTGTGTGCAATTTGATCCATTTTAAGAATACTATGAATGTATATGATAACGAAGATGGAAAAGACTAAATAATTATGGTGGTAGAAAGGGACTAAATAGATATACTTTGGGGATGTATGGGCTATTGTAAAAAGCAGAGATTTGCTGCTACTGAATGAATACAGAATATATTAAAGGTAAAGGTTTCCCATGCACATATGTGCTAGTCGTTCCTGACTCTAGGGGGTGGTGCTCATCTCTGTTTCAAAGCTGAAGAGCCAGCGCTGTCCAAAGACATCTCTGTGGTCATGTGGCCGGCATGACTAAAAGCTCAAGGCACACAGAACACTGTTACCTTCCCACCAAAAGTGGTCCCTATTATTCTACTTGCATTTTTACATGCTTTCGAACTGCTAGGTTGGCAGAAGCTGGGACAAGTAATAGGAGCTCACTCCATTACATGGAGCTAGGGATTCGAAATACCAACCTTTCTGATCAACAAGCTCAGCGTCTTAGCCACTGAGCCTTACAGAATATATTACTTTGATAGAAATAAATTAGTTAATAACATTTGTTGTTCATGATTTATAATATTAATTTATAGAGTAGGAAACCTTTGCCATATATGGTATAATCCTTAAATTGTTTTTTGTAGTTAGCATATTGTCAGAATTATATGTATAGAATTATAAAAGAGCTCTTAAATTTAAAGGTTTAGATTACCAGTTCCTTCACTGAATGTTCAGAATTATTTATTCTGTAATTATAATGGTAGCTGGCTATAGATGGTTAATTTTGTTGGACTGTCAGCTATGCCAGTATTTTTATGTAGTCCATTATCAGATTACCTTACATAGACTAAGCTACTTATCATAACGTTTTGTCTACTCGTTTACGCACCAGGCTAGTTCTAGTCACACCTTAGGCCAGTCAGTCTTTCTCAGCCCAACATACCTCACAGGGTTGTTATTGCAAGAAAAAGAAAGAGGGAGATGTATTTGGTAAATTTGCTACCCTGAGTTATTTATAAAAAAATAATAAAGGTAGGATATAAGTAAATAATTATTTTATATACATAACAGATCTTGAAATATTTTGTTTTGCAGAATCCTGTGTGTATTTGTTGGTGACATGGATAGGAAAATTGAGTTGGATGATGAGTAAGTCTCAGTATTTCAACCAGTTTATTTAAATTTGTGCGGTTGGTTCTCAAATTGAAATTCTGCTAAGGTTAGTGGGGCTTCGTAAGTAAAACATGGAACTTTGAATCTGTTTTTTTTTAATTAGAATAATTTTACATCTAAAACATGTATTTGATTATGGCAGTTCTTTACAGCTTGTATATTTCCCAGATATATGTATTTGCTTTATTTTATTATTACCAGAGTGGCAACTATTTTATAGAGATAATATTTATAGAATCTATTTTTTTAAAATATTTTACAGCAAAGTCCTCTTGATCAATATTTGTGCTAAACATTCTGAACAAGTTAACACCAAACACAATATCTCTCTCAACTGGAAGGAAGTAGGTGTGGCATTTTATGGTCTTTCTTCTTTTATCACCCAAGTATGATTTAGTGAGAATGCAAGGACATAAATTTTGAGTTGAACTATATATTCAGCAATTTTTACTGATTTTAGGGTGTGGATGACATGCAAATATTTGAAAATTGTGGTCCAACTGAGAATTCTGCCTGCTGGAAATATACAGTTTGTTACCTAGAATCATGCTAGAGTTGGGTTGGCTATAAATTTAATAGCCAATCAATCAGTCTTGTAGCAAATGCTATAAATATATTTGGGATAAACTGAAGAACTGCTGCGGTGGGAAAAATTGGCACAACATTTTTAGAAACTTTGAAACTTTAGCACAATCTTTAACCCTTGTCTTCCCTGCATGAATTGGAAAGGTCTGAGAAAAAGCACAATTGTAAAATAGATAGATGGTTTTTCCCACCACTGACTTCCACATAGTTTTTTATGGACATCTGAAGCAAGGAAGTCTGATTATATTAATCACACACGAAAAGAGTTACTGGTTTGATCACTTTGGGTTCCAGGAATGACAAAAGTTTGTTCATGCAGACCTATTCAACCTACCGTCTTTTTTGGACTATAAGATGCATCGGTGTAAAAAACACACCAAGATTTTGAAGAGGCAAGTAAGAAAAAAAAGTTTTTGCCTTCCCTCCGTCCCCAGCAACACTGTGCAGGCTTCAGCAGGGCTGAGGCAAGGCAAAAACGCCTCCATTTTTGCCTTGCCCCACCCCTGCTGAAGCCTGCAGAGGGCTGCTGGGCGCTGCGGGAAGGCAAAAAAGCATCCGTTTTTGTGAAAAAAAGTCCCCATTTTCCGCCCGTTTTTTGCAAAAACGGGGGCATTTTTACTTTGCCCCGGCCCTGCTGAAGCCTGCACAGTGCTGCTGGGGGCTGAGGGAAGGCAAAAAAGCCTCCGTTTTTTATTTTAATATTTTCCAAAGGACTTGAAGGCAGGATTATTGGGCTGGAAAGAACTGCATGTTAGTGTTATGGCCCTATAGATCTCTCTGTTTTTTTATCCCTTTACACGTAATATGGAAATATAGTGTCTATATTGAGAAATTAAGAAATTTAATTTTGGATAATTGTAATATGCTAACATTAATTATTAAAATAAAATATTTTAATTTTTTGTTCATTTTTGGAAGGATCCTAAAACCAACAACTTCTTCTCTGCTACCTTTGGATTTATTCTTCCAGTTGCATACAGCTACCAGCCTAATTTAACCATTGTAATTGTTGGAGCAAACCAGAACCTTGGCAAAAATAGAATTTCCTTGCTTATTAGCTTACTGCAAGGATTAGCAGAATCTCAGATTCTCGCTGTAATACAGGTAAGGAGTACGTAAGTGGTTTTACAACAAAATAACCTTTTTTTTTTTAGAATAAAGACTTGAGGGGAAATGCGTGACTAATTCCTTCAAAAAATGTCTATAGTTTCAGATTCTCTTGTTTTCCTGAAGCAAATACATGAAGAATCTAGTAAGGTGCTGTAGCATTTCAATTTCAGTTCTAAAAGGCAGTGAAAGGCAACTGAAAATTCAAAGAAAGGATGTATTGTCTTTAAAGTGGTTCAGACAATATTTTGTGTATTGTGTCAAAGGACGTTTTTGAGATTCAGTCTGAAGAATTGCTCAGTTTTGCTTCTCTGCTTATCTATGTTCCTATGCCTGGATTTCCTGGGAAAATCTAAATAAGTCAAACGAAACATGCATAACAATTATTGCAGGGGGTTCTTTAACTCTGCAGCATCATGGCATCTCTAAAATAATAAATGAACATACAGTATGTGAAACAACACCCCTCCCAAATACAATGAATGATTTCATTGTGGTTAGAATTTAGCAAGAAAGAAATATGACTTCATATGAAATAACTCAGTTTTAATATAGTTATCATCAAGGGTTCTCAAATTTTGTAACATCACAATTTTCCACTGTGAGACCAAGCTGATGCAGACAAAGCAAGGAACAAAACTCAAAGCAAATTTTGACAGGACACCATTGTCAAAATCCATTCCACTTTGAGAAAACTTGTGTAGGCATCATGCCCAGAGAAAGGGAGGGGGAAAAAGCTGAGACCAAGATTTTGGCAGTGCTTCTGTTTCATTGCTCTAGCCTGATTACATGTACACATACAAACTGCATCTCATTTAGGAAGCGTCTTTAGAAGAGGTTCTTGGATGACAAAACAAACATTTTTAAGGCAAAAAACCAAGAAAGTCCAGTTGCCTTTTGGAAAAAACACCTTTGGGGCAACACACACACACTTATCTAAGGTTTCCCACCTCACAAATTGCTGAGAGATTGCCACCTTGCAGTTGAGGAATCCTAATTTATGGTATTAAAAATATCTGACTCCTTATTGGATACATTCCCACATTGCATTAAGCATGGTGTGTTTCATTGTGTCTTACCAAATAAATCTGATTTGTTTGGGTTTGCAGAACACGTCAAGCTATAAACCAAGGTTTACCAACCACAGAGGTCTAGTTATACAATTCACTAAACCAAAACCAAGCAAGTGGCATTATGGCATAGTCCAGTGATTCAACACAGCCATTCAATAGAGTACAAATTCTCAGAAGTGACACTGCAAGCAATAAAAAGTTTCTTTCTTTCTTTTTTGGAGATAAGTACACATTTATGCAAGTGTTTTACTTTATTTTTAAAGGATTCTGAAGAAAAAATAATGCAAGATGTAGCCAACATCTTAACAGGTGACTTTATACCCAACTTTGAGAACTTTGCACCAGATTTACAAGAGAATGTGGAAGTGATAAAAGAATTAAGAGCGCAATTTCAACAGGAATGGAAATTGCTTCAGTGTTCAGGTAACCAATCAGAGATGAATGAAAACAAAAAGTAAATCTTCATTACATTTAAATATCTTACTGTGGAGCTTTGAATTACTTGAGGTTAGAGATTCTCAAGAGGAAAAAGATGCATTTTTGCTACAAAATCTGACTGCTTTGTTGTTTTTGTTTTGTGTAGCAAAGAATTTCAAAGATGAAAAGTAATCTTGATTTCAACAATCTCTTTTCTTCCACAAAAAAACAAAAGATCAGAATAAGGCATGCTTTATGAATAAAAGGGCACAAAATGTTTCTGAACTGATTTTTATATAATTTTTATATTGAAAACTATATTCCAGCCTATTAACTTCAGAAATGCTGTTGGCTTTGCTATAAAGACTTTTTAAAATTTTATACAGTAAAAATATATAAATATTTTATATGTACTGTATAAATATATGAATATTGCATTAATATTGTATAAATGTACAAATAGAAGGGAAACTCATCAAATTTGCAGATGACAATAAACTGGCAAGAATAGATAACACTACAGAAAATAGGCTCAAGATCCAGATAGATCTAGACAGATTTGAACACTGGGACCTATCTAACAAAATGAAAAATAAGAAAAATAACACATTGTGTACTTAGGCAAGAAAAATCAAACGTACAGGTATAGATTAGGTAAAACCTGACTCAACAGCAGTAACGTAGAGAGATCTTGGAGTCCTAGTGGACAATTAATTAAATATGAGCCAATAATGGGCAACAGCAGCCAAAAAAGCCAACACAGTCCTGGTTGCATTAAAAGGATTAAAATCAAGATTGTATGAGGTATTAATACCATTTATAAAGCCTTAGTAAGACCACCCTTAGAATACTGCATCCAGTTTTAGTCACCACATTATAAAAAAGATGTAGAGACTCTGGAAAGAGTGCAGAAAAGAGCAACAAAGATGATTAGGGGCTGGAGGCTAAAACATAAGAACGGCTGTAGGAATTTGTTTTTTCTAGTGAAAAGAAGGATCAGGGGTGACGTGACAGCAATATTTCAAATGTTCCAATATTTGCGGAACTGCCACAAAGAATGGAGGGAATCAACCTATTTTCCAAAGAAAGTAAGAAAAGAAACAATGGATGGAAGGAGAGAAGCAACCTAGAATGAAGGAGAAATTTCCTAACAGTGGATTAACCAGTGGAACTGCTTGCCTTCAGAAGTTGTGGGTGCTCCATCACTGAATGCTTTTAAGAAGGGACTGGATAGCCGCCTGTCTGGAATGACATAAGGTATCCTGCTTGAGGGGTTGGACTAAAAGGTCTCTTCCAGCTCTGCTATTTTGTTACTTGGTTTGTTGTGTCCTTTAAGTCTTTACAAACTGTTCTGGCAAACAAGGGGTTGTGATCTATGGTTCACCAACAAAAGGGCGAATGACAAAACCGCGCCCGACTAAACCACGTCGCTGACGTCATCAACAGGGCGACAAC